ATTTACGAGGGTTGTAAGTGCCGTTTGCAATGTGTAAATTACTTTCTTTGTTCACTTCACAATATTTTACTTTTAAATACATTTTCCAAGTTTTCATGAAAATTAACATGAATCTGGAAGCAACATTTCTGTGGCATAATAGGTCTTTAAAGAAATACCATTTAAAGGGTGGAAATGTTTCATTTTAAGTTTGAAAAAAGTTGCACTTATTTTTTTAAATGTAATATTGAGAAAAATAATTCCCTGTTACTATATCAATTTCATGTGTATTTTTTTAAAATTTCTATTTACATATCAAGAGTAAAAATGATTTATTGATACCTCTCTTATAAATAAAGTCTGAACTGAATTTTATGTTATCACATTTCTTCCACATGTAATAAACATACATGTACATATCATGATCAGCTCAGTTTGCAATGATATTGCAAGATGTGGCTCTACTAAGGTAGTCCAAATAATGCACTCAGGGGAACAATATGCATTCGTTTACCAGTAAAGCTGGAATATGGCCATGTCACTCGTCTCATAGTCCACTAAAAACATTACATATTTTGTTAATCTGACACTGTATTTCAGCACGACATTCGCTGCTGTTACAATGATATACTGAATCTCATATCAGCTGTCCATTTTCAGCATGTCATGTAAAATTGATGTATTTAGATATCAAGTTTTAATGTTTTGCCAACAAGATAGTCCTTCTCGACAATTTACATTCATTATCATGCAAATGCCCAGTTGAGTGCCATGCACTGGCTAAAATAATTAAAAAAATATGCAGCTGACATATCATTTAGGGTTGCACTTGCAATTAGACGAATGACGAGTTGAAACGTGCAATTGATATCTTTCCTAGAGTAACTTATAAAGTCAAATATCAGCAGAAATGAGAAGCTGGCATCAGATTAAGTGTGACGTTAACATGAGCCATATTGTTTTTGAGGAGCTGGCTTGTCGCTATATGTGAATTTGTAAGAGGTATACGACGAGCTCATATATGAAGCTGATATCGCATTTACATGTATAGTCAAGAATGGTGATCTAGTATGTGCAGCTGACGTGTCATTTACTATGACAATGGCCATTGCATGGTGAGTTGAGATAACAGCTGCCATTTAATCTGCATTTTTTTCTGTTCAGGAACAATACTCAGTATAAAATTTGCTATTCTCCCCGGCAGTGTCAATAAATAGTGCTAGCGTAATGCTGACATGCTTGTAGTAAAGTTAGGCGATCAATAGCGAAAAGAAAAATGAAAAATAAGGAAAACACCACCACCACTACCACCAACAACAACAACATTATCAACAACAAAGACCGATATTTACACATAGTTTGGTCATATTTATCCCACATGACTTTAGTGGTGAGAGACAGATAGATGACAGATTCGATGATTTCAATTGTATTGTATTGTATTGTATTGTATTGTGCAATAAATAGCAAAGTAAATCAGGAAATGAATCTTCGTAAACGCACATAAATGTTTTCACTTTAATTTAACGTCTGTTTAGTCTTCAGCGTACCTACCTCTTTGCAAATTTCTATTAATTAATTGATTGACAGGTCAACATTAATGCTAATTGTGTCAAGGTTATTTCTAGTTTTTAAAGACGATGCTTGTTATTGCTTTTTTTTGGATATCATGAATTTCATTGAAATATTCATTCATAAAGGGTCCGTCACACCATGACGTTTTGGTCAACGCTATCTGAACGTTTCAATCGTTCAATGTTTGAACTTTTTTGAATGAGGTTGACACATCTAGAGTGATTATTGTGCGCCTAACGCATAACAAGCGTGTGTCTAACACATGAGAAGCGTGTAATAGCGACCAAGTAAGATACGTGCAGTGCAGTTTGTTCATTGATTCATATAGGAAAAAAACTCAACTTATATATAAGTTTTTTCCGCACCTTGTATATACCAGTGTAGGTTTTTTCACAGAGGCTCCACATAAGACGTCTTTAAGTTTTCAAGGGCTGTATATCTTGTTTTATTCTTTTTTCTTGTTTGTTTTTTATTTTTATTTATTTATTATTATTTTCTTGTCTTTTTTTTTGGGGGGGGGGGTTGTGGTGTGGGCAGCAGCAAAAACAATTTCAAACAACTGCCTTATTATAAATAGTTGTATGGTAGCTTACGACAGTTGTAGTTGGTATTGATTCATTTAATCTTGGGTTTCCATTTGGAACAAAAGTGATAGGGCACAAGAGAGAGAGAGAGAGAGAGAGAGAGAGAGAGAAGTGCACGTTTGTGTGTGTGTCTGTGTGTGTGTGTGTGCGTGTGTGCGTGTGTGTGTGTGTGTGTTTTTTATTTCTATTACAAAAAACATATGAAATTGATGAAATAGTTATTATACATGAAACTCGTTAGTTACTGGGATATAACACTGGCTGAGGTGACATCTCGGGATGTTACTACAAAATAAATCGTCTCGGCCTGACGACCTCGACATTTTTTTAGCAGAAACATCCCCTCGATGTCGCTCCAGCCAGTGTCATAAGTAAAAACACGTTCCCTGATGTCCCAGAAAAAAGTAACCAATGAACTGATAAATTCTATCGATATCCAATTCTCTGCCGTCACTATAAGTAAACCCCAGCACAGATAAGCCAATGGGTTTGCTCTGGAGTGCGGGTAAATAATACCTGCACTCCAGTTAACGCGTTGTGCATGTATATGTATACGATTTAACTCTGACACATTTTCAACAGAAAGGGCCCCAAACTATGATACACACGTTTTGAACATTGATATTCTGATACTGTTGTATTATAGTTTGGGACCCTTTCTCTTGAATAGGGTTAAATCGTATACATATGAATGCACAGTGCGTTAACTGGAGGGCAGGTACGCCCCTTGTGCCTTGTGTTTCGATGCTCTTTCTATTACTTAATGCAATCCATCAGAATATTAATGTGGCGGATAATTAATTTAATGGCATATATAGTCTAATTTAACACAGTCCAAGTGTTATTAATGTAAATGATTTTCATAAAGATGACAATTTGACACGTTTATACAGATTTACGATTTGCAAGACCAAAAGTTAAATGTTTTTGGTGTTTAATTGCAGTGGTATACTAACATAATCAATTTCTTGTTATATCTTAAAACTAGAACTATTTGTTTTTTGAAAATTAGATAAGCTTTAACTTGCATAGGACTTTCGCGATTAAATAATAATAATAATGATAATAATAATAATAATAATAATAATAATAATAATAATAATAATAATAATAATAATAATGATGATGATGATGATGATGATGATGATGATGATGATGATGATGATAATAATAACAATGATAATAATTATAATAATAATAATAATAATAATAATAATAATAGCAGCAGCAGCAGTAATAGTATTAATAATGATATAATGATGATGATGATAATTATGATGATGGTGACGTTGTTGTTGTTGATGATGATGATTATAATAGTAGTTATAAAAAAACATAACAAGTAAACAACAACAAAAAACACACACATACAAGTCCCGCCCAACCCCCAAACAATAAAGAAAAAAAATGTATGGGGATCTTAAAATATAAAATAGCACTTTAGAAGGAAAAGTATGCAAATGAAAACAACCCAATAACGAAGAAAGGAGACTTGATGAGGATAAGTGTCTGCATGAGCTGTACTAACTGACACAAACTCACCATCACAAACCCCTATATCATTTTAACACACATAAACCTGTGTCCAAACATACTTGTTAGGAATCAATTATTAGTTATACCTATTTATCAATCATCATTCGAAAGCGTTTCTTAGTTCTAAAAGTATACCTTTTTAGAACCATATGTGGTATATGCTCAACATAGTGTGATTACTTTCATGTGCCTAGCCCCTCACAAATTGGAAAAAAAAGATAACATGTCATTCCGAAATTTTGACAAACAATTGACATTAAAAAACTGTTGCCTACACTTGCTCCTGTCGAAGAAGTGAGATTATAATGTTTTGCAAATGGCGGTCGGCACGTCGGTAAGAATATTAGATGTCGTCAAATCAGAAACTAGAAAACGTGTTGGCCTTTGGTTTGAATGTTTATAACCTATTCTGACGTTAAGGTCATAAAGTCAAAGTCATAATGGCATTGACCGCAAAAAACATGTCAAAAGAGTGCTTCATCATAGTTTTCGAATTTAGGTGTGAAGTTAGCCACATCTCTGAATGAACCCTATAATTGATTTTGCATAAAGCAATGGTCGTTTTGACGTGTGACAAAAATACCTGATTGAACACTGTAGAACGCTTTACTCTACAGTCCTAAGATTGTTTGGACAGTTAAGACATGATCTGTAAATGATCACTTTACTTGAGATTAGTATTTTAACGTAGAAGTCAAGGTCGCTGTGGCATCAGCCACAAAATACTTTACGATCAATAACTTAAAATGTTTTGGCATACAGTACTGAGATATCATATTGCGGTCTATTATGATTTGAAAAAGGGTCTCATTGATTTCGAAATCTGTATATAAAAGGTCAAAAACTACACTTAAAATAGTGACCTTGGTTGGAAAAAAAGTTGTCCAATCAACAACTAGATTGACCTTGGTATGTTTGATGAATGACCCTGTCACTAACGCAGATGTCAACGTAACAGTAATCTTCACCACAAAACCTGATTTATAGTCTTTTGGTAGAGCTGTTGCCTATATGAATAATTATGTGCTATTTAACACTTATAAAACATATTTTGTGTCTACGTTTAAGTGATTTTACAGCGTTAGTTTTACAATTTAAAATCGTTAAAAATCAATAGTCTTGTCACGAAAAGCAAACCAGATCCTAGCGACACACATAAATTTATCATATAACACTTCCTGCAAAAAAGAATTTTCGTGCAATTACGTAACACACGTTAAACTGTTTGAAAATTCCATTACAAAATATCAAGTCATAAATCACTACAATTTAACATAAGGCTTGACAATATGTAAAGATAAATAGTCTTATCACGGCGTCCGACATTTACTAGTTGCTGCATCAGCGTTTAGTCTGTCTTCAAAGTGTATACAGTACATTTAAAATTTAAAATGTCTGACTATTTTTCAAACAGATATAGATATGCTCAGAACTACATAACGGATTTTGAACGGCATATTGAACAGATGAGAGATGATCTGAAATTCCATATTAAAGAGACAGGGACTAGGGAGCGTTACCATGGTTTTAATCAAAGCTATCATGATTTGTTACGATTTGATATGCTTTCAAGAGGCGGACAAGAATTACCGGAAAGAAAGGATATTCATCATATTGATAGACTCGAGCAACTTTCCTCAAGCCTGGTACAATTACTATCAACTGCTAGACATAATGCTAAACAGGTTTGTTGCATTTTACTTTTTACAAAATATTACAGACAAAGACACCATGCTGTTATGTCAACTGTGGTAGTATTGTCAATAGATCTAGTAATATATTTACCTTTCTTGATCTAACAAGGATTTTTTGGATATCAGTTATAACGTTTTATCTGATGCATTTGAACAGACTTAAGTTTAAGAATGCTTTTACATATCTTAGTAAATCCGTTTGCAATTCATTAATTACTTTCCTTGTTCGCTTCAAAATATTTTATTTACATTTTCAACTTTATCATGAAAATAAACATGACTCTTAAGGCATGCTGCTTTAACGAAACTTTGAAAAATTAATGCAGATAACGATAAGAAAAAATAACAACGTCTTGAATATTATTAGACGAATCCATTGCAGCCTACTATATTATATCTGTCAAATGTACATCTTTGTTTTATTTTATTCCTTTAGTTTCAGTCTTCTTGCCAATGCGAAGTTACACATAATTGTATTAAATGCTTTCTTTATATTGAACTCTAAGACTTTTGGTACAAATTATTTTTTGTTAACAGAGCCAGTACAATGTGTTGCACATATTATTAAGTATTACATGAAATAATTTAAGTTTAAAATGTTTTATTCTTTGTACGTTTTCATAATAATCTAACCTTTAAAGTATTTTGTATTATTTTGCATGATCCTTTGCAACATCGATCACTTTAATAGTATAATGCTGTAACCTTGTCTACTTATATTGAAAAGTTTCGTAAGTTATAATTGGCATAAAATAACGTTATGATTTTTGTAAAATCAATACTGGTATTTCATTATCTATGTACCAATATATACTAGTATACAAATCAATTATGCAGAATGTTTGTTATTTTCTAGACATTGTCTTATAATGTAATGCATTTAGATTAAGTGCAAAAACAGTCTGAATATAGAGTCCCTGATGATTTGTTTTGTTTAACGACGCACCAATATAATTTAAGGTCATATGACGCCGAAACAGGAAAGATCAGTTTTATTAACCTCGTGAGCAACAAACTTTACGCAACACCAGGGCTCAAAACCACCACACCTGCTCGAGCTAGGAGATGTATATACTCTAGTAATTCGAGCCCATTAAGTCAATTCAAACAAAAAGGGCGGCTTATGTCTCAACTCTTAAGGCAACCAATTAGCCGCAAGAAAAAAAAACAAAACACAATGATTTTATTATGGTCAGTTAATATCGCATTGCTTCATTATTTGTGTTTAAATTTTCATTTGTGTTAAGAAAGTGTTATTTAAGTAAAAGATTGGAGCTTAGTACTTAATATTCACATTTTGATAGGCCTTTTAAAATCTGTGAGTTACAAAGTACTGCGATATTCGTTTTAGTTACTTAAAATATATATTAAAACGTAGAATTTCGATGTTAGTAAAAGTAAAATGCAATAGTATGCTTAATTAAGCAGACATAAATGTTTATAATGTTGTATAACATACTGAAATGTATTATTCATCAAGTATGCAAATTCATTACATGTATCATATCTGTCAGTTTGCATCATTAATTAAAAAAAATTGCGATGAGGTAATTTGTATGGAAGTAAACATACATATTTGTCCACATTTTGCATTTTTTGGACGAATTGATTCACATAAATTGCAATTTTTTCAAAGCGGTTATTTTCCTGCATGCTTTAAATCCACCGTAACAACATTAAAAAACACAAGGTTGCCCTTTAAACAGAAAGGACAAAATAAATAAAAAAATGTTTCTGAGGTTTGATCTGAAATTAAAATAACAATATATTTGACAACCACACCGCTCAACATTGCAAGGTTAACAGTTCCATTATCAGAAAACGTGTTGATAGTATAAACTCTTAACAATATTTTTCTTATGAACTGTGTCAAAAATATATAAAAAGATCTCACGCGTGTTGCCATTTAAAATGTAATTTTAAATAACGAGTCCAATAAATTGTTACAAAGCGAGGCTCTGACTTTGACTTTGAAACAAGATTGAAATATATCATAAAATTTGCATGGTACAATTGCATTAATAATAAGATAACCTGCATTGTTATTTTTTAAGTTTTCAATAAATAAAAAGATGGGGTCACCGATGTTGTCTTGTGCTTTTTTGGTTGTTCTAGATGCACACTATAGAAGTGAGGTCTAAGAATAAACATATGTAGTAGAATAAAATGAATAATGTATCAAATGAATCAATAAAGAAAAGACGTTTCGATGACACAATAAAAATTCTACATTTTATTTTCAGAGGTACAACTCACAAGACACAGTTCATAGTCCGGCAAACGACAGGTTTTGGACACATATGAATTCACGCGAGTTCGAAAATAGACAAGAAAAACACCAAGCATTCGCATTCAACCCTAATCATCGAGCTTGCGTAGAAGTTAAAAGGAGAGAAAGGCACAACAAAGGTATAACAAATTTGTTATAGGTATCATGAGATTTTCTAATCAATAAATGTTTGTTCGTTCTATGATAAACAAATATAAACTGAACGAAAAATAATTCCGATTAATTTGGATTAATTCCACCGATTCAGATTTCTGTTGTTTAAATGTTGTACAGAAAATGGTACAGAGTTCAAATAAATTAAATTTTGACCATGTAAATGAGTTATAGATTAATTAATAATGATGCCTTTATTTTACAGCAAAATCTGTTAAAATTATTCTTATAAGCATATACAAACATATTTCATCCTGCATGAATAATATCACATTTATTATGATCCCCGAAAATTTTTCGGGGGAGCATATAGTCGCCGGGTTGTCCGTCCGTCAGTCCGTCCTTCCATCCGTACGCACGTACGTCACGAATTCGTGTCCGGTCCATAACTTTGTTATTTGAAGTCGGATTTTAAAACGATTTCACAGCAATGATCACCATATATTGACGACGTGCCGCGCGCAACATTTGGGTCGCTACCTTGAAGGTCAAGATCACAGCATGCCCTTGCAACAAAATCGTGTCTGGTCCATAACGTCGTAATTTGAAGTCAGATTTTATAACTATTTCACAGAAATTATCACCATATTGAGACGACGTGTCGCGTGCAAAATTTGGGTCGCTTCCTTGAAGGTCAAGGTCACAGCATGACCTTACAGCAAAATCATGTCCGGCCCACAACTTCGTTATTTGAAGTCAGATTTTAAAACTATTTCACAGCAATGATCACCATATAGTGACGACATGTCACGCGAAACATTGTGGTCGCTCCTTTGAAGGTCAAGGTCACAGCATGACCTTGCAACAAAATTGTGTCCTGCCATTAACTTCGTTATTTGAAGTATGTTTTTTACAACTCTTTCACAGAAATGATCACCATATTGAGACGAAGTGGAGTGCGCAACACTTGGGTCGCTACCTTGAAGGCCAAGGTCACAGCATGACCTTGCAGCAAAATCGTGTCCAGCCCATAACTTCGTTATCTGAATTCGGATTATACAACTATTTCACAGAAATGATCACCATATTGAGACAATGTGTCACGCGCAATATTTGGGTTGTTTTTACACTTTGAACTTTGTCTGTGACATAACTCTGACACTAAAAGAGGTATACCTTCCTGTGTCAAAAACCTATTCGGGGAACATTACCATTTCATATTTAGTTTAATTTAATAGAGCTAATATTTTTGACTTTTAATGTTGTTCTTGCCTCTCTAGTGGAGCGTAGAAGAAGGTCAATAATAAATGAAAGAATAACAGAGATAAGAAACTTACTTCCAGAGGATATCAATCGGTACATCTTATTTTATACTTTAAAGTTTCCTTCTTTGTCCAACAATTGTTGCATTTTTAAAAATGTTATTCTTTTATCTGGAATCAGAACTCATTTTAAAGAAATTTGTTAACTCTATGCATGATATGTTTTGACGCGTGTTTAATTATTATTATTCTATATCAAAGTGATAAAACGTATCGAAAATGTATTTTCCTTCATTATATGATCTAAATTTGTCTTGTGGAGCTTTAACTAGACAAAACGGCACATAAAATACCAGTCACTTGCTTTGACTAATATAGTAAAATAAAAAGATACAATGAAAAGACAACTGACCGATATGTTTATATGTTTAATTTCTATAAGACTGTTGAATCACATTGAAAGTTTGACATTTATTGAATCCATGTTTAAATGCATAGTTACTTCATATAGAAATGAATAATTTTACAATACATATTTGAAAAAAGTACATGTAAAATGCTATTTTATTATTTGTGTATATACTCAGAAAAAGCGCATGCTTTTATGTTACAGTGCCACGCTTGGTAGGAAAAGTGTTGTTTTAAAAGAAGCTATTGACTACATTAAACAGTTACAAAAGGTAATTGCGAACGTACATCAACTCGAAGATAAGATGGAAACAATCTGTAGTGACGTCAATACAATATCAGAGAAATTAGAGGTGAGTACTTCATTATAACTGTTTCAGTAGTGAAAAGAACTTTAGGAGGCTTTCATGTCGTTTATCTATCTTAGTAATGGATTTAAAGCATGTTTGTTGGCTATTACATGAAGATATTAGCACAGAATGTGAAATAATTTCTCATTCAAGTATCAAAATGATAACAAAGACATATCTTGACTTCCATATCATTATTACTATACAAAACTCAAAAATGTAGATGAAGCAAAAGGTTGTTTATCTTTATGGCCAACAGGTAACTGTTTGGATTTGTAATAGAATATAAAAAAAGTGTTTTAAGGACTAAAATGTTACTTTGGCTTGATAGGTCTATGGGAAACTTTATTGCAAAGCGGTACGTCTTCGTTTTACCAAAATGCTTAAGGTAATTGTTATGTTTTAGAGACTAGAAATGCAGACAGCAGGAACAGTACCAACGCACAACAAACAAAATATTAAAACTTCTGAATCTTTTGAAAACTCCAACGTTTCTAGTGACACAGCAATGACCTATGAATATATTGATGGAGACGAGAAGTCAATTCTAAGTTTGCCACAGCATATTTTTCAAGAAAATACTACATCGTCTTTTGATTTGGATGATGTGTGGGATGATATACGAACATCACTCTCCGTTGACACATCTATATCACTTCAAAGCAGTCTTGGGTTGGAATTTGACGAGCAAAGTTACATTTTATCAGATACTGACATTGCATCAGACGTTGGCATGGTAACATAATATAACCAAGCCTTCTTCACGATTCTAACACAGAAAAAATAATCCAAATGTGGATTGAAATATGAATATATGTAAGGCTTCATGTTCTACTTTTTCTGTAAAGGTTTGATTGCTGCTTCTCCTGATTATCTGTGTACAGCTCCTGTTTGTCCGCATTGTAGATCTGTTCGAAAAGGCATATTTGTTTTTCAAGCTAAATGTTTCTGTTGTTGATTTGAATTAAAAATGATAGAAAGTTGTCTTCTTAAAATATCTTATATACCACGGACTATTGAATTATTATTTTTACATATAAACAAAATGTATTTGAAAGCCTGAGTTCTTTTGAAAAGTGAACCAAAGTGAAGTGAGTTTATCTTTGAAGAATAACTTAGCATTTAATTTATTTCTTATGACACATAAATGACATACATTTATAGATTAATTAAATTTTTGTAGTTTGATATGCCACTTTCGTTTTGTAAACGAAAAACACATTTTTTTGGTATTGAACACGTGATTCACGAGAAAATATTTGATAAATTAAAACAATGGATCTACTTTCGATTATGATTATTTATGCGCAATAAAACTCAAGAGAAATATACGTGACGCATATATGCATATTATATATATTGATTAAAATTTAAACCAATGAAAATAAGGAAACATTTTAAAGTTCTCGGAAATGTGTAAATCAATTTACAAATTAACAGTAAAATACATTAAAGATGTAATACGTGACAGGATGATGACACACATTAAATAAGCATGCATTTAATATTCTCGTTAATTGTTTGGCGAGATCAATGAGGAATTTATAATACATAATACATAAATCATTTCAATTTAAAACATCTTTTATTTGACGTAGTCGACATAATATCTGGAAATGTTTTTACAAATCAGTTATTCTGGATCAGTATGAAGTGCTCCGGTGCATATTTCGACTGTTATTTCTTAAAAAAGATTGGTTACTATGGTCACATTTTCAACTACTGATAAAATAATAGAAATATACTATTTGTATGTTCTGATATAAAATGTATAGAAAATAAAAAGTATATCGAGTCATAAGGGGCTAAGTACAAGCATTTCAATGATGAATACTGATATATTGTTCTAGAACAATTTATTATCTGCTATGTCATTTCGGATCATGTATATCACTTTTTGATTGGGTTTTATATCGCATCAACATGACAAACAAAGTATAGGTCATATCCAGCTTTACTGGCGGAAGACAATCTCAGGTGTCCCGGGGTATATTATTTAAGGTATTACCACCCTAACGGGCAATATAAAGAACTGAAAAAATTATATCATAGGTCAGATATATACCTTAAAGTACACCTGTATGCAAAATTTAAACAAACTTTACCGTACGGAAATCGAGTTATGGCCATTTTTATGAACTGAGGCTAAGGTGTATGAGGGCCCTTTTTCAGTAATGAGTAACCTTTAAATAATCTGCAATAACATTCTAATGAAAAACGTTTTCCCATTATTTTTTTGGTAAGAAACAAATAATACTTTTCAGCTAACAATCAACAGAAACAAATTTATGTTTTCTACTCAAAATTTATAAAATATGTTTAAAAATGTTACCCTATCTATTATTTAAAAAATCCATAAAAATTCCCCAAATGAGTGCCTGTTTTCAAAGTTTCCCTAATTTTTTTTCAAAAGTATATTGGTTGATCTTGTAAAATATTAAATACTTTTACTGTCTTGTTTTGATTTTATTACACTTTGAAAATATCAGGTACATATTTATTACTAGATCTAGCATTATTTAGCCAATAAATACCTATATAAATTAAATAATAAAAAAATAAACACCGTTTTCTACCCAAAATGGATGGGGAGATACATAAACAATGTTAAAAAAAAGAAAGAAAGAAAAAAAAGTTGACCCATCTGATGAATCCATGGCCCTCGGTTTCAATGTAGTTCACTGTAGTTCTAGCCTATTTGAATACTTTTCAAAGCGGAGGTAAGGTATTATTAAGGCACAAATGGGCACCTGAGTACAATCACCGCCGTTCGATAGCTTATTACACGTAGAATCAGACGGCGTCTGGAAACTGCAGCTGTGCTTAGAAGTCAAATACCTTAACCACCCGACCGCGAACACCCCAAAAGTACCGACCAAATCCATTTATAAGTGTTCATGATATTGTTTCTCATATGAATCTAAATACAATCTACATTATTATTATAAAAGACATGATTTTTTGATTAAATAACTTAAATGGCAAATCTGCTTCAAATAAACGCAAAACAAATTCTGAAGGAGTAAAAATATATTTTGAATTATAAATAATGATACAATTTTTGCGAAATAATTGAAATGATTTTATTATTATTTACCTTTTCATCAAATTTGTTTCATTTTTCATAAAGTGAAAATATAAGCATTAATTGTTAGCGTACAAGTGCAGATCAAAACAACTTTACATTTAGCTGTTTTCTGTTTTACATTCAGCTTCAAATGTATAATCAATGACCCAAGTGTTTAATTTTATAGAAAATTTTGCTAGTAAACCCGCAACAAATATTTATGCCCTTTTAATAGCCATAGTAGTCCATAGGTCGCATCTGGTTGGGACCATATTTATGGATCGTGGTATAATTTATATCTCCTAAGCATGTCATGCAGCTTAGCAATGCCGCATGACAAATATCTAAACTCTTTACCGTGCAGTTTCACTCAAGGTGATTTAAATGTATTTTTTCTATATTATTCTCTACCAAAGCGTTACTATATAAATCAAGTGTCACTCATGAGGGAGATTTTGAACCTGGGGGAGAGAGGGGAGGGACATGATGTATGTTAATTTCGTAGAGACAGGCCACGTAGTATATAAAACAAGATCAACATTCAACGAGTACATCCCCTGAGGCACGACTCAGCAACACAGGACTACCGACAAGGAGCCTAGCATGATACTAAACGAACAGGGCAGGGCACAAGGGCAAAACATTGACTGGATTTTGTTTGTTAGTTAAGGTTTTGAGTCGCACTGGCTATAACCGGTCATATCACGCCAAACACTGCAATTATTAAGCCAAAAGTCAATCAAAGAATAAATCTTAGACTACAAGTTAATTCCCGTAAATAATTGATCGACGTTTTGGATGCAACTGTGGCTAAAGTTGAATGAATGAATGAATGAATGAATGAATTAACTGATGATCATGTTCAAGATGTTTATATTTAAGAAATGAAACGTCATCTCCTGTAAAACGAATAATTATGTCCAATTCGAAATCTTAGAAGAACTTCTCGATCATGACGGTTTTGAAGGAATCGAGATGTTGATACATCAAGACAAAGGTTGATATTAGTTAATATGGCTTGGTCCTTATTTGATGGGTTTTCTTAGATATTAGAAGGTAATATATTTAGTAAAATAGGGAAAAACCGTATTCCTAAAAATGCCAAAATCGGTTTAATTGAACCTGTTCATTGTTACTGCAAGTACGGTCAACACCCTTAAGCACCCGTTTATGCAGAATTCAACATTCCTACAGGCAAGAAAATGGTGAAATTGAAATTTTGAATCAAGATGATACATCCTAAGGTTTCCTATGATGATATCGAATAACAGCATTTACAGCTTTAGGAAGACAAAGAACAAAAACGATGAAACAAAAAGGTTCACATTTAGTAGTAATGCCTCACACATCTTTTGTGTTGTTGAAGACAATGGCTTGACAGGGTTTTTGAATAATTTATCTTAATGACTTACAATTTGAAATTGTTGCTAGCACAAAAAGCAATCCTTATGCATTTTCTTATAAACTGTTAACTATCTCTTATTCCCAACACATTGTTTTGAATATAGAATATATTGATGCATGTACAGTTTTAAGTAGAAGCTTTAGTCAAAATGTCTGTACAAAGTAATTTTGTTTTTGAATGATACTCTTGGGTTAAATCAAAACCACATTTTCAAAATTTAATGCTGTGACGAACTTGTTGAAAACATGATTGCAGAGCTTGTCAAATACAATGCTATCTCAAAAGCTATTCATCGCAGCATTTCCTTTTGTTTTCAAGTTCAAATATTCCTAGAAGACTAATTTAAATGATGGAATTTTGGTTGATTGATTCAATGCCATGTTTTTGCTTTAACATATAAATATAATTTTTATTCTCATTAAGAAATAAAGTAAAAAATGTACCATGTGGGACTCTTCTCTTGTCGAATGTTTCGAATAACTAATGTGACTTTGTTAATTCCCTTCATGCAAACATCACTCAATGTTTGTTAAGAATTCAGCGCTTATCTCCATGTCGTTTGAAATAATTATTAATTGGATGACAAATCATGTATTAATTTAGTTAGTGCTCTGGTATCCTTAGTTAATCTAGCACTGTCCTATGCTATAGGAATTACAAGGCTAAAGATCCCATATGTAAGTCGAATAATGCAGATAAAATTAATTTTTATCTACATGTTTATTTTATTCATCCAGACACTAAGGCTTATTACTCACTGTGCCCTTATTTTCAGCGCGTGCAAAATGCTGAATAAAAACTTGACATAGAATGCAAGAGAGGTTACTCTTATATGATTAAGACTTTCACTGTTCTTTTAATTCCCTTTGTCAGCAGTGATATTTCCAATGTGATTATAATTAAAAGAATAATAAACCTGTTGACTAAATGCAAGTTAAAACAAAATAACAAGCGGTAGTGAAATAAAACATCTGAAGGGTAAAGTACTTCCTGCAAAAATTATTATGCCACAAAAACACAGATTCCGCAAATCTAAATTGATTTTGCAGCTGCAACAGGTTTACGAAATCCTTTCTTTGTTTTACCGGTAGCTACGGTAGATGTCATTTTATTTTCTTGTTACCACGTGGTCACTATAGTAATTATATATATATATTGTTATATCTGGGCTTTATGCTTATATGACTAACCATTATTATGTAATTTCTATAACATTGATGGTCACCATTTGCGGTCATTCTTAACTCTATTTAAGATAATTTTTTGTACATGATAATAATCGTCCCAATTATTACCTAGATGAAGAATTCATTGTACAGTCAATTTTGCATTGAAATACCTCTCATGGATCAGTTCAATAGTGGTATCTTAATAAAACGGCATGTAAATGCAAATGTAGGTTTAGTACATGGTAACACCATACTAATGTTATCAACCGAAGCTCTACGACTCATAAAACGGTCTTGCAAAGTCATGATATTTTTAAGCCAAATGCCTCGACTTTTGCTATGGGCTTACTAAGTCTATATA